CCCCCCCGGCCCTTCCCTAGTTGGAAAATTTCACCCAATCCAGGGAGAAAGTGGGGGGATGTTATTAATTAGCCAGACGGAATCCTTGGAAATATTAGGGCCTTGAGAACTCGGGATCTAGGAATTCGGCACTTCCCTCGGAGTAAGATGCTCAAATTATTTTTTGGGTTAGGAACATGACCCCCCCCCCGAAAAAAAAAAAAACGTTGCGTAAGAATCCGCCTTAGTCTATAGCAAGAGTATCCTTGTATGTTTTTGGTCCCCTCACTTCCTGGTACGTGTTCAAATTGGGCAGCCGGTTCACACGGTCGGCGGTAATGCCAGCCACATACACACCACGGCACCGGCGTGTTTTCATCGGCCAACCGGTTAGCTAGCGCGGTCAACGCTATCCATGTATACAACAAAACGCACCTGAGCCTTGCCGGGAACCGAGACGCCGAGAAGGTCGATGATTGAAGCGGGGTCCTCGATGAATGGGTCAAGCTGGTTGATGATAGAACCTCCGATGATGAGGAGCCACAGGTTAGCCACCTGTCATCCCGAAACAGGGTAAATTCACAAACCGACGAGACGAAGGGAAGGTCAAGTCGCTTCCATCTCAGTCTCAGTCATCGAAGTGGTTTTGACAGAACTGCACTACCATACAAGAAGAAACCGAAATCAAACCATTTACTAACTGCGAAATTAAATCACCAGACTCGTTAGCTAGTGGTTTGCGTTCGGCTTCTATGCTACGCAGGGGAAGGGGGGGGGGGAGGGGGGCATACTCATGTTTTGCAATACTTACAAGCGTCCGGCGAGCACTAACGTCAAGGTAGCAGGCAATCTTTCGTAGAACACCCGCAAAATGCGCCAAGCAGCTTCGACGTGTACACGTCGTGTTCCCCACGACGTCGACCGCGGTCTGCAGTTCAAGCCTCAACAAAAAAAAAACTGCTATGGAGACAAGAAATGCTATAATACTGATACTGCAAACGACGGGCTGAACCATGGCTCACGACTTTTATGGCGGCGGGCGGTAAAAGGCATTGCAAAATTGTAGCTTCGCAATCTAACTCAACTATAATAACTACTCGGACGCAACGTGCACGCCGTGAACCCGACAAATACGCAAGCCTAGAGCTACTCTTAGTATAGTATAGTATAGTATAGTGACTGACTGGCCAACTCACTCGAAATCCGAAGTGCCACTTGAAGACGTAGAGGTCCACATCCGCCTCGGACTTCATGCGGCAGAACCTGTGTGAGCATCGTAAGCGCACGTTATGGGTGGTGCTATCTACGGTACTGTTCAACACCTCGAAACTGCTGCTGCTCTGTTTCATGGCATCAAGACGCCTCCTGAGGGCAAAGCCTGTTCTGTGTCGATACGGCTGTATTACAATAACGGCTTGTCTCATCTTTTCACCCACCCCACAGCAGTAGTCCAACAACCACACTAAAAACAAGCCTTGGCAGAAGGAAAATACTATAATACTCTGATGACAGAAAAGGTTCGCCTCGCAAAGCTCTCACCGTCTGACAACATTAGCTTCGTATACATAGTTCTGCCGAACTCCCACTCAACAACTTGCCATTCCCAATCGCGAGTCTCACTGCATAACACCAAACCTGACACACCAAGTTCCGCTTCAACAACACCAAAGTGGGTATGACGTCCTCGGTACGATTGGACCGGCACGGAGACGTTTCAAGGCACTGAGAGAGACCGGTTTTAACAGTGCAGGCAACAAAACAACAGCAACAACCTCAACTACACCATGGCATATACTGTACAATACCAGCAAAAAACATTTTCGCGGGCCTGTCTCACTTGATGGCGACCAATCTGATGACGATCGGCACGATAGCGGTGAGGACGGCAAGGGCAATGACGGGCAGCAGACCGGCGATAAGGCCGTACAGGAAGGAGCTCGGCGAAGGGAGAGGGATCCTGTACATGGCGCGCGCGATAGTCGGATAGCAGCGTCAGCAGCAGCAGCAGCAGCGACAAAGAAACAAACACGGTGACGCAGTTGAGAAACACGGAAGTAGGGGCAGCAGCAGAAGCAACAGCAGCGACAAATAACAGGCAACAGCGAAAAAAAATACTATTAAAACAGCGGCCGCACAGTTGAGCAACACGGGCAAGGCAAAGAAAGACGGTCTGCCTCGTCCTGCCTCGTTCTCATTTGCAGCACCTGTGTGGAGTGATCCGAGCAACACTGAGACACACGGGTGTCTTAGGGCTGAGGATCGGACAGCCAATCTCATGCAAACACGTGCGATCTTCCTGTAAATATCCGACACCTCCACCAACCGTTGTGCATCAACAACACGTTTCGTGTCTCATAAATTAACCGCGCTTTTTTCGCAGACACCCAAAAAAAAAAAAAAGACCTGACGGCTGTGACACCAAATACACAGCGGTTCAGCAGCAGCAAAGCAACATGACATACAGCAGCAAACACCCACCAGTCCCAGCGCTGCTTCAGGGCGTCCAGGTCAGAGATAGCCAGCACCACGGCCACGGGGATAGCCCAGAACAGGATCCCGGCCATCCAGACGCAGTTGGCGATCTTCTTCCTTCCCTCGACCTGACCGTTATAACAGTTACATAGTTGAGGTCAACGGCGGTGACATGATTCTTTCGCTTGAGATTCAGAACTCGACCGCCATCCACTTTTCGAGCCATCCGCACCCAAGAGTCGGGTCAAGATCGACAAGTCGCGTGAGATTAGCTTGTCGCGCGTTGTGACGTTCACTAGCCCGATGGTCGAAAAGCAAAAGATGGCTCTCAATCTCTCTCTCCCTCCCTACAGTAGACACAAGCTCTCGCTTTCTGTTTGTCTCTGCCCAACTCTCTGTCTCTCTCTTTCTCTCTCTCTCTCTGTCTGTCTCTCTCTGTCTCTGTCTCTTATCTCCCCCTCTCCCCCCAACTCACGAAGAGAGCGGTGGCGGTCACGTTGTCCCAGATGACATCGTTCGGCGCAGGGGCATTGTGGGCGTCCTGAAAGGAACAAAACAGGGTAAAAGCAACCACGGGGCGCAGGGCGTACAGTTGCTGTTGTTGTTGTTGTTGTCTTCACATTAAAAACCGTTCCGATCTCTCTCTACCCAGTACCTTCGTATGTCCGTACTGATCCAACACTCGACGCGGTCGATTCCCGTGGTCACAGGTTAACTTACCCTAAAAAGGTACACTCAAATAAACTGGCCCCGAGGGGTCCGCAAGTCAATAGAAATCAACGACAGATATTCTGGGATCCTCCGCTCCCTCTTCGCGCTATGCGGGGTATCAACTGAGATTAGCAGTCACTATCTATCATGGGCCGGAGAGAAAGAGGTACACTCCCTTGGTTCAATCTTGGTACTTCACAACGCAAGCAGAGACAAGTCCATCTGGCACAGAAAAAGAGAGAAAAAAAGAGAGAAAAAAGGAGAAAAAATAAAAATGGAAACCGTAAGGAGAAGAGAAAATAAATGAAAATAAAATGAAAAAGGGCGAGGACAAAGAGGGACCAGGCCGAAAATAACAGGAAACAGTAGAGGGTGTGAATCATTACCAGAAGCGGGGTACATTGTGATAATCTTTACCGAATCAACCACCACCTCCTCGAGTTCGACTTGTCCAAGGAGCGACTGAATGCAGACCACTACCGGACCCAGCGCCATTCCTGAACCAACAACCACCTCGATTTAAACAAGGCCGGTCAAGACCAAGACTAGCTGAGCCTAGGACCAACGGCACCCACGTGATTGAAGAGCTTCCCGCGCACGTTGAGGCCCAAGGCTATAATATAACGAAGACTACAACACCCTTTTATGCACTGCCGAAAGACCAGCCGAGACTAAGACAACCCGAGACTACTGACAAGACTAACGAAAAGGGCACCCACCATGTTGTTGAGCTTTCCGGACAGGCTGAGGCCGGCGGCGGCGAGCTTAGTGGCGGCGGACGTGAAGGCCACGAAACCGGTAGACGAGGCCACGCTTGAACCGGCACCCTGTCATGCCATGCCATGTCATGTCATGTCATCACGAGGGACGAAGAAACAAAAAAAAAACGCGATCCAGGGGAAGACAGCCATGGTTGAATGAGTGACACAACGTACTTCGAACCGTTCGTACGCTACCTACCCAGGCATCCAACCGATGCTCCTAAATCATACACAAAAAGTCCTTACATGACCACTTAGTTCTCACAGTAGTACACGACAAAGAAGACAAGAGCAGCCGTGGGTAGGGGCGGCGGTGCACGAATGCACGGTGGTGACACGATACTCAAGACAGAGAGAACCCCTCGTTTTATTCTCGCTGACGGCAACGTGCTCCATCCACCTACTCCATGAGAGGCGAGCAGCCGGTTAGCACCTTCGTGACGTTCGCAACGCAAAACATAAAAAAAACGCCGCCTTCTGCAAACCCCACCTGAGAAGCGACCTGGCTGATGCGGGAGTGCTCCTTGTCGGCCTGTGCAAACGATACGATAAGCGACGCGCATGGCATAAAAAAATGGCGGTGTGCCAATGGTCAAGTGAGGCAGGCAGGCATCCGATCGCACGGTTCCCGCAGATGTCACGCCTAGTTTTCCCATCAAATGGGAAAAAATACATGCATGGTATGATTCTACAATCGTGCAGAGTGGCGTCACGTGGACGTGCGTCAAGCATTTTAGGATCATCATCAGCAGCAGCAGAGGCAGCAGAGGCAGCAGAGGCAGCAGAGGCAGCAGAGGCAACAGGACCGCAAGCAAGAAAAAAAATCAAAGGCGGAAAGACAAGACCTAGAAAAGATCAAATGATTGCATGTTATGCACCATTCCAAGAGTTCTTCTTGCGCATGCATGGATGGAAAGTACAAAACACGAAATCCCATACACCTCACCGGGAACACGGGTGAGAAAACGCTCGCCACGGTATTACCGTACCGTACCGTACCCACACCTATGAAAAAACGTGTTGAACCAACAAGCAATAGAAATCTCCCTCTGGGGAATCACAAACGCCACACCCGCACAACCAAAACCCACCTCGCCGAGAAGCCTGGCGAGCTCTCCCTTGAAGTGCGCCTCGCTCGACACCTTCTCTCCTCCGCAGCAGGCCACCCCGCCCACCCTGGTCATGGTCTCCTGCAGTACAAGTATGCCAGCAAAAACACAGAAAAAGAAAAAATCGGGCACAATAAAGCCAGCCCTCCGCGACCTCGCTACAGCTGAGACTACGCCGCCGGCACGCAAAAGGAACAACCCAGGGCCACGGGAAGTCATCGCAACATTTCCCAGCCTCTACTCGCACTGAGAAAAAAACAATCTGAAACCGAACCGTGATAATACTTGCGTGGCCACGTTGCGTTTACTACCGAACTAAATTGTACAATCAGCCAGCGGGATGCTGATCATGGTAACATTCAGAGCTGGGGTCAAGCCGTCATGCCATGGCCCGATAATGCTCTGGCTTTTCGGAGGTAAGATTCCGTGAGTTGTTTTACCGAAATATCACCTCCCTCAACAGTCTTTGACCAACAGCAAGTGAATTAACGACGCACTGCCAAGGAGTGCGCCGTGCAAGACACATATACATAACACAGGAGAGACTACCCCGCCGCACCCGCATCGAAGAACCAAGATTAAGATTCGGCAAAAACAACACGCAACAGTGACAAAAAAAAAAACACACGCACACACCCGAACGCAACAAGTACAACACCAAACGACAAACGTCAATTCGCACAGAATCAACAGCCATTTTTTTATTGGTGCTTGCTGCTGTACATTGGTCCAGCGAAGCCCGAAGAACAAAAATCACGTACTCAATCCAAGGCGCGTGAAGGAAACGGACAAACATTTTTTCTTTTTCAAAATAAACCCAAGTAGGTACGGTTCACGGTATGGTACCTTCGGGGGTTCGAGGTGCCTTTGCGCCACGGCGTGCTCGACCTTCTCGAGAGCCTCCTGCTTCTTCCCCAGAGTTGCCTCGAGGTCACTCGAGTGCATGCACAGGCTGGCGTACGAAACCTTGAAAAAAAAAAACGCATGGATAGTTGCGTTGATTGGCCCACCAAAATAAACTTCAAGACGCGTGCACGGAAAAACGAGTGAAAAATGAAAGATTCTTCACAGAGAGGTGCTGAATACATGAGTCTTCGCCTCGGGCCTTCGCGTGGTCGAGGAAGAGGTATGTGTTCCACGCATGGAACGCCATCACAAAGATCCACCAATCTATCAACCACTATATGCATAGCAACCAACCAGTTGATACAGCCGCAACCAACCACGCGACACAAGCATAGTCATGTCCATCGAAAATCTCTTGACAAGCAGCAGCAGCAGCCAGCCACGGCAACTAAACGAGCACAGCAGTCACTACGATTGAAGCCCCAAGACCACAACAACACAAGCAGCCTGCTATCCTTCATCCCTCTTGACGACCGCATCCACATCCGAACAAAACGAGCACAGCAGTCACTACAACCAAAACTCACCGACACAACACCAACAGACCGCTTGAAAAACCGTGTCCTTCACCTAGCACACACACACACACCGATATTCGTTAAAGCTTGTATCCTCAACTGGGAGAGTGTCCTTAAAAATGGTGTCCTGAACCTAGCACACACATGTTTTTTCGTCAAGTTAAAGACACACACCGAACATATTCGTTAAAACTTGTATCCTCAACCTGGGGAGTGTCCTCAAAAATGGGCTTCATAACCAGGGTTCGACTGAACAAATACAAATACAATCCGCACCTTGCCCGGGAAGAGGTGGTCGAAGTAGCCGTAGAGCGCCGGCGAGGAGCGCTTGTCCTCGGGGATGTTCTCCACCATGGTCGAGAACGCCACCTCCTTGTTCATGTCCGGGTCTCCCTCTGCCAGGAACTTGAACCTGCCGTCGTTCGCAATGTCACCGAAAAACCACCAGTCAGGAGTGAGTGGAATATGCATACATACATACATACATACACACACATACACACGCCGGTGCCATCAAGCAGACCCATGCCTAACGAAAAACTCCTCGTTTCGTAGATACCGTAGATACCGTAAAGGGCGGGGCGGAGACATGGCACCCCCCCCCCTTGACCGATTTTCAAAGCCCAATTGCTCCACAACCACACCAGTAATGGTGGGTTTGGCAACATGTCGTCGAGCGCTTTCCGTAGACGTTCGGGGCTCTTTCTGTACCCACTTTGTTGTGGAGCAATCGACCTTTCAAAGCCGCTCTAGGGGGTGCCTCTCTCCGCCTCCACCTGTTACGGTACTCGCACTGGCGGTTCAACATCAGCGAAAGCCCCCACACGAACCTCTCGTTTCGTCTGCGGGAAATCTTGCCGCCTACACGTACTAACATAGAGCAGTTTTACTCGTCCCCGCCCGGCTTCACCCTCCCCCGGAGTGTACATGAGATGAACATATTTCCAACGCGCACAAAAAATGCTCAACAGAGAGAGAGGTATACTGCTAAACCCCGCCAGGAAACCAGGTGCACACAGACCTTCGTACAACAAAAACGAACAAACCTGCTGGTGATGAGGACTTCTCTCCACCATCTTCACACCACCAACGATCTGGGTTCTTAACACGATCCAACACATGACGCTGCTGCTCAAGTATTGCGACTCAATATCAAGCCTAAGCCTCCCTTGCTTACCTCTTGGGCACGAAGTTCTCCCACTCCTTCCACCACAGCAATAGAGTCCAGAGGACGACGATGTACATGAAGGCCACCGAGTACCACAGCCTGAGAAAGACCGGAGTGAGGTAGGGCAACAACTGCTGTTACAAGGGATACTATTATGAATAATAGTCGAGACTTCACACACAATTGACAACACAGGCCACAACATGCTTGCTCGTGGCACCTTCAGGCAGCAAGCACAGAGCATCAACACCCATCAACGGCATCAACAATCAGCAAAGCGACCGCAGAGCTCTCGAACAACAGTCGCCGGCCCCTTTTTCTCACCTGGTGCTCCCTTTCGTCACGTTGGCCATGGTGATCTCGTTGAAGTTCACTTCGCCGTTACCCCCGGTCCGGTAGACCAGCACCATCAACACAATTCCCAGCAGCGCCGGCCTGCCGACAGGACACAACCACGCACACAGCAGACAACGGAAACAGCACAGATCAAGCCCTGACACGTGTTTCTCCGAGAGAGGAAGGACAACAAAACAAAACAACACACACGATACCGCATATTTCGCACGATCCACTCTCCCCCATCGACTACACCACTGCCCGAATCACGCTCGAGCAGCACGCCGTAGGAAACAAATACAAAAAAGAATGACAAGGCTCGTCCTGCATGTACAGTAGCACCTTCCTGCAAGTTTCATTCTAACTCTTCACCTCACATCGGGTGTTGGGACCCCCCTTCACAACGAAAAGGGATATATCTGGAAAAATATAAATGCGTATTCATACCATCTGGCAATCAGCAAACATCAACCAAGACCGCAAACCGGTATGCATACAGTTGCGCGGGGGGGGTGTTGCGTGAGGGCTGACTTCGACTGACACGCTTTTGACCGTTAACCAAAAAGACACAGAAGCGTGTATCTACAGCAGTACCAAGAGGGGACACAAACAGCAAAGAACACAAAACCGTGTTTACTCACAACGCCGTGAGCTTGAAGCCCATGAGGCAGTGCCTGAGGAGGACGTAGTGGTCCATCCCGACCATCTTGAGCAGTTCGGAGTCGTCCACCTTGCCGATCGACGCCAGCCACGAGAACGGTCCTACCAGGTACAATACAAGAGCAAAAGCGGCAAACCATCAAACACGAACACTACACAACGCACGAGATTCGCTTTCGGAAAAAAAAACAGACCACAAACAAACCTATGCATAGACACGCTGATGACATACGAGATTTCGTATTTGGATAAAACAAAACAGAACACACCCTAAGACACACACGCATCCATGTATACGCATATGACGAACGAAATTCGTTTTCGGGCAATGGGAAAATGGTAAATGTACAATACACTCAACAAACGGGATTCGCTGTCAGAAAAGAAAAAACACTCACCGAGCGATGACGCCAACCCACAAGCCCTTCAGCCCATTAGGCACCGCGAGATGGCGGTACCGTACTGGTCCGTTTTTTTATCTCGGTGTCGAACTCGTTCCTACCCCACACGCCAAACCAGGACCCGGCCGAATCGACAAAAACGCAGGCGAAAAACATGGTCTACTGTTGTTTGAGGGTTTCAACTACAAGTACATATGGTACCGTATTCAAGAAAATAGAAAAAACAGTAGTTAAGTTGCGGTGCACGGCATACCTGGGCCAGGTTCATAAGGCGTGCGGTGAGGCCGTTGGGTCTGCCTCGGCTGTTACAAGCCAATCATTGGTGATCATGTCGTGCAGGTACGAAGGGGTGACGGGGAAGCACGGGGGAGGGCGGGCGGGCGGGCGGGCGGGCGGGGGTCGCAAATAGTGAGGCATGAGATGCGGGAAACGGAGACAGGGGGAGAACAAAACCCACGAAAATGAACATTTGCATTCACACGTGAGAGAGGCCAACAATCAAGACACAGAGAGGCCGCAGGCCATGACGGGTGTGCATGCCAACCGAGCAAACTGCTGCTGCCCGGCACCGCTCCCTCCGCGGTTCAGCTCATGAATTTTCTTATCCCTGGGGGGGAGGGCGTTGTTCGATGTACGCTTGTGGGTGACGAAAAAATATCACACCGTCGGCCGGGACCGATTTCCAATGTTGGACTACTCCACTATGTAGAGGACGCGTTCATCATACGATACGTTTTCGGAGAGCTCACGACGAGGCGGTTTCAACGCCGACATTGTTGACATGACCATCATTTCTGCCGTGGAGTAAGCGAGCCTCCGAAGTCTTCGGTCATCTAGATGCGAGTGGTATTCTTGTAGTGCCGCTCGTGCGGGCCACGTTCACGATTTCGTTAACTCGTCGCTCGTTTTTCCCTCTGGATCGCTACTATCAATCCCCCCCCCCAACAACAGACCTACATCCTACTCGTACAACGCAAGAACCGCTGTGTCAACGGCAAACAACGATCAACCGCGATAACATATTGGACGATCATCCTCCCATACTGTAAGGTAAGAAAATCGATTGATTGCAAGGCTCGGGAGACACACATTTGCGACCTACAACCATGGACTGTACAACAATCAGCTGGTCCCGTACAACGACGTGCAGCAAGGTAACCTCTCACTCGAGGCATCGTAGTGGCTCTAAACACAGGCGCTGTGGGTAGCGCCGCTGTGCGTGCATGAGTTCGAGACAGATGCAAACCTTGAAGTCACTAAATAGAAAAGCGCCATCCATTCAATCAGTCTTCGACAGGCAAAACCTTAACTTTGTAGTCTCCGTGTAACGTACTCTTCTGAGATCAAATTGAGAACTTTCGCGAAATGTATCTTTGTGCTAACGACGATTTCGAAAAAAAAAAGTATTGTAGTTGGGATGCATCTATACTTCAACAAAAAAAAAGGACAAGAGAAACCCCTTCCTCTTTAACCCACTTGATGCTCAGGCACACAAACGAATGTTGTATATAAGCATGGCAATGATGTGGATCTGTTTATAAGTTGTCATGCGTAAATGCGCGATGGAAAGGCTAACTACACGGAACACTTTTCATTTTTTGAATGAACAAAAACGAAAACGAGGCCACGAGGCCACATCAACATCGAATGTCCGCAAACACTGCGGGGGAACATCAACATCATGCCGCGGCGGCGTGAACCGTGGCGAAACGCCGGTGTGGCGGACAATACAAACGGCGATCGAAATGACAAAAGCACGACCCCCAGAGTGTACATGGAGCGAAGCAGAGGGCATCATCTATCTGGTTCATACTTCGTTTACCCACAAAAAATATTCTGACCTGTTGTTGCGGGAGTACAAGCTGGCATTCGTACATGGAAAGAATAAGAATACCGAAGAGTCGGGAGAGATGGCTCCCCCGTGTTAGCGTTTTCTCGTAGCGTATTTCTCCACAACTAGGAGGGTGCGAACACCAACCGATACCTTTCCGGAAAACCCTCAACGACATGTTTCCAAAACTACCCTTTTCGGCAGTGGTACCGCCCTGGTTGTGGAGAAATACGCTTAACAAAAACGCTAACACGGGGGTGCCATCTCTCCGACTCTTGACGGCATCAAGTGCATACAGCAGTACTCAAGATGCCATGCCCCCCCGCGTTCGGCAAGCTGTAACTATACCGAGGTTTGAAAACACGAGTCGGTATAAACCATGACACACGGACGGGTTCTGCCCAGCGCTGCTACTACTGATGAAGCTGTTTGTGTGTCGCCAAGGCGGGCACCACGTCAAGGCGGGTCCTCGACCGGTATTTTTGTTGTTTTTTCATGTTGAAGGCGGTGAGAGAGTCATGGCGCAGCAACATTATTGTAGACTATGCTTGTGTTTGAAGTTGGGATCCCACTTTAAATTAAACGAACAACTGCGAAATCACGCTCCCTACTCTAACGAGAAAACACCCAAGCGTGTCCGGCCAAGTGATGCGCATAGCAGCAGCAGCAGCGGCGGCGGCTGCCGTTGGAGCCAGCAGCATCCAAAGACGTCAAAGTATTCTTTTTCGAAAAGTCGAAGTTGCACCGCTCCTCTTACCGGCTCTCTCCTTGACCGCAAGTTTTTTGGGGTCGTGAGCAAGAGCGAGTTTTGAATCCATGACAGGGCGGAGTCAAGTCGTGCGCGGCGCGAGCGCAAAACACGGGGAACCGACGCGTGCACAACCATAAAGGAAATGGCGTCATAAGCACTCACCGACATCCTTACAGGAGGACATTTAAGCTGTGAGGCCTTGTGCGCCCGCCTCTGCTCCAACAGAGGGAACGATGTTCGACGCCACTTGAATCAAGATCGAAATATTTATGAAAATTCTCAAATCGCACCACAGCGGCACGCCAACACAACAACGCACCTGGTAGATGCCGCGCTTGTTCTTGTTCCTTCGCCAGCACTCGAACAGGAGGTACACGATCACGCCCTACACACAGCAGTAGAGGGGCAGCAGGGGGGATTCTTGTCAACGAGGTCTGCACCACGGTGAAAGGAGAACTTCAGTCGCTCGCCGTTGGGTTTCGCGCCACACAGATTGATGATGCCGGAGAGGCATCACCTATTTCTTCTCCGAGAGGTACCGTACACGACGACGACAGCCGGAGCCGACCAACCCGCGGGTCACGTCGAAGCTGTTCTCACGCCGGCTGCCTTGAGACACCCACGCCGACAGCGTTGGTTTGTCCAGCACGCTCCACCTGCATGCAATCAACCGTCTCTCTCGATGTGGTAATGTCGGCACGACAGGGTATACAGAATTCCCCAATCAACTCGGCGCGAAACCTGAGTGATCGCACCTGCAACGCCGCGAACGCCGCGGTGGAGATCACCGGAGACCACTCCGACGAGGTCTGGTCGTCGTCATCCATCCTTCACAAGATCGTCGGTACCCTCTCTGTCTCTCTCCGTGCGAAGACTAGGCTGGGGCGGCTAGTGTGGCCCTTTCGCTCTTTCGCTGAGCCAACGGCCGCACTCCTCTCGCTCTCAGGCGAACGACGACGTCCCGCTCTCTTCACGCGCGCCGCTTCCCAAGCGTCTCCTACGGCTCGGCTATGTTGTCAGTTCGCAGCGCACTCACTGCCCTGTTGTGAAATAGAATTGTTGATGTTGCACTGCTGTGTCGCCGGCAGCAGCTGGTCCACACGGAGCGTGCCAAAAAGGAGCTCCGCCGAATGTTCAACTATGCCCCTTCTATTTTTTGCTCCTGTCTGACAACCCCCCGTTCGGTGCCTGGTGCAGTACATTTTACCATCCGTGCGAAGGGATCTTTACTTCTAAATTTACTGTCTCCTCATTGGTTGGAGATGCGCGTGCGCGCGCTCGCTCGGTGAACCTCTTTTTGGTTCTATTCACAAAGCTCTCCTGGGGTGGGGAAACCCCGGCGCTGTAGCTACATTTCTCCGCACGCCGCGCACGAGGTGCGCGTGCTGTGAAGGACGGACAGGGTGGCCGTGCTACCTTATCGACACGTAGCCTCTAGAGAGAGCATTGCATAGCGTGGCTTCCACCGTTGGCCACCACAGCAGCGGTCAGTCGTTGATGCAAGGAGGTGAGCGGCATGCTGCCGAGCACGCGCTCTGCTGGCGGCGCGCATCATGATGCTGATCATGATGCAGGCGCGGATGACTGCGTGGATGGTGCGGCTGGTCGCCAGCACAAGCCGTTGTCGCACCCCTTGCCCGCAGCCCCATGCGCGAACACTGGAGAGAGTTCCAACTTCTTGCAGCAAAACCCTCCTCGAGAACGGACAGCGACCTCTTCCGGTAGCGAGCCGTCGGGCAATTCCCATCTGTCGGTCAGCGGCGCGCCTGGCGGTGTAGCCACCGTCGCGAACACATTTCCTTGCGACACTCCTGCGGCTATCGGAGCGGCTCGCAGAAGTGTGAGTGGACGTGAATCACCACCAGCGAAACGCCACGCGTCGCAAAGCCCATCATCCCGGCGGAGTTTGGGACGAGATGCAAGAAATTCATGCGAGGGCTTCGGGGCCGGTGAACGTCGCGGCAGGGTGCTGCACTCGTTCCTTGCTACAGCTGTGCAGATGTCCCAAGCATCGGAGGCCTTGGGGACGCCAGGGGAGCTATCAGGTGATGGTTTCGAATTCGCGGAACCACAATACGCCCCTGTCGTCTGCCATTGGGGTACATACGGGACCGGGATACTGTTCTACCGGTACGCACGGGCCGAGTGCACCACTACTACATTGGGAGGTAGAGGGAGTAGCGCAGCTAAACTATGAACGCTCACGCCAACTTGGAGCAATGTTGCCACCATGGCAGCGCCTAGCCAACGAAGTGCCGTGGCGACCGCAGCAGCAGCAGCAGCAGCAGCAGCAGCAGCAGCAGCAGCAACAGCAGCAACAGCAACAGCTGTCAGCCGCCGGTTGCTTTGGAGGGGTATGGCCGCCGCCCCGGCCGCCGCCACGGCTTTTGATGGCGCAGCAGGGCGCAGCTGGCGGGGCGGTGTTTCAGCCGCAGCGGGATAGACGGGTACGTCAGCCACTTCCGCCGCTGCCGTTGCCTGTGCAGCAGAGGACGGCAGGTGGCATCGTCGGTGACGCCCTGAACGGCCATGGTTTACATCTGGTTTTGCAGCATGGCGCACCGCATGGCTCAGGGACAGGCGGTCATGAGGAGGAAGACGAGGAGGGGGGGGGGGAGGCAAAGGATGCCTCCAGCGGAAAGCCCGTCCCTGTCATCGTGCCTGCTAATGCTACGTTGGCGAAGCGCAGCTGGTGCTGTTCGAAAAGCAAGACAGTTACTTCGATTTGTCGTGGGTGTCTCAAACGATGGCATTGCCACGTCGACCATGGGCTGATCGACCTTACCAAGGATCGCTTCATTTGCTGCTTCTGCGATACGAAGACGAAGTCGGCATGTCTGTGTCACGCGTGAGTACCCAATATCGTTTTCCGCTGTTCAGTTTCTTTGCTCAATTGCAATTCTCTTAAATTATGTGACCAAGAGTGATGTGCCAAATCGAGTTCTCGGATGCTTCTCGCACACGTGGGTGTCACCCGATTCGATGCCACCCATGTGGTTTGTTTGAGAGGAATATGCAACAATATCTTGACTTCCACAGCGCTCGCGCAGCCTGGTAGGCTGTCACCTGTTTTCACCTAGTTGCTCCGGGAATGTTGCTGGTGATCTGTATCGACTCCAACTTTTCTGGTTGCTTGACCATCGGTGTTTGTTAGGTCTTCACCCTCTCGCAGTGCGAACAAGACCGGAGCGTCCACAATACGACCTGCTCTCAGCGTGCGTGCTGTACGTATACTCATTTCCCCCCCCTCTATTCTTCCCACCATCACATGCTTCGTACTCATACAGGTGCAAGAAGAACAAAGCTGATAAGCGAGCGGCATCCCAACGAGCTCAAGCCGGCCACATCCACGGGAGTAGCGTGTCCCGAGTGGTTCACCGCCAGGCTCGAACCAGCGCTTTCAAGCTCCGTCTGCCTCTCACGGTGGCGGCGCGCAACTCTAGAGATAGACAAAAGGCACTGTTTTCGGTCTCCACTACCGCCCGCGGCGACCGTGTCATGGTCATCACCGACGTCACCGCCGAGCAACCTGGTGCGCCTGCAAGCTGCATCGTGAACTGCTGCGATAACCGATGCCACAAGTGAGTCGATGTAGTAGTTGGGGGATGTCACGAAACAACAGTGCTTGTGTGGTGTTCGATACTCTTCCTTCTCACCGGCAAATCTCCGATCGAAACTACACGTTATTGTTGCAACCCAACGCTTGTATAACTCGTTTGGAAAAAGAAAAGACATTTTGCAGGGCACAGGTAGGGGCCCGGCCGTTCTGCATTCTCATTTTATTTTTCGACAGTTGCTGCTCGCTAAATTTATCAGAAATTAATCGGCATATATATATTTTTCTGACGATGCACTGTCACTTTCACGGTTGCTTTTGTTTGGTTTTGCAGTGTGCAAGCGGAACCCGAGCACGCGCCAAACGCCGAGCAGGTTGCAGCGGGCCAATGTGAGCACGCTGACGTCATTCTCGGAAATGGGACCACTCCGAAGGCGGATATTCCTGAAGCAGAGCCGGTTGTCTTTGGCAAGGATGGGGAAGGGATCGAAAGCGTTGGGGATGCAGCGATAACCCAGATGATTTTGACTCAGGGTAGCTTTGACACTATTCTAAGGATGGCAGCGACTGCAGAGGAGCATGGGGTGCCGCTGTTGATGCGCTTAGGCGAGACTCAGACGTATGTTGTGTACCATCCGGGTCATCGGTCTATTCCTGGCAGCTGGGCACACGTCGAGACGGATTTCCCGCAACCACCCGGGTCGAAGAAAGCGCCATCCACGAGAAGGCGGACCACTGAAAGGAAGCAGATCCAGTGCAAGGTGATAGTCTACTACTGCCGATGCATGACTATTTTTTATTCGGAGCTCTAGAGTATTGAATGTATGTAGAGCGCTTCTGCTGTGTATG